TTCATATATCCCCATACCAAGTTGCAGTACTCTACAACGAATACTTCCAGAGATATGCAGTTTCGCATGTCTTCCTCAAATAAGCTATTTTTTCTTCATTAACTACATAAAAACACGTTTTTCAAAACTGTACGCCTGTAATGATATGTGTGTATTTCTCTGCGCACTTCTTCCCTGTTGGAAAATTTAACTCTGTTTCAAAACTCACCATGCGTTAAAGTTAATTTTTAGTCAACCATTTCGCCATCCTTGTTTGTTAACTTCATTTCATTTAAGTTGTTAAATTTAAATAACAGGTAAACGAATTGATAATAAATGCAATATGGGTCAGTTGACTGATTCCTAGAATTTAAATATAACGCAACCATGTTGAGAGAAAAATATTTAGTTGACGTAAATAAACTCTCTCCTCCGTGAAGTAGTTTTTGAAAGAGGTGAAATTTGTAAACTACTTTTGAATTAGTTTCATTTCCGGCCGGGTTGCCACAAGTTTCGCTGTAACGTCTTTGTATAACGGTTATTTACTTACAGACATACAAAGCAAATTTAACTTTACGAACGCTTGAATAGACAATTTTATTTACATTCACACTCACATGTGTAGATATTTTTATAGTAAACTTTATGTATATTCTTATGCGCTTGTTTGTTCTTCAAGCGTAAATTGAACACGATAGAAATTAATAAATAAATCATTTTCGTATTCTATACTCTAGCGCATTATTGGCAGTCCATTTAACTAATTTGACAGCAAATTGAATGAACACTAAATGACGAAAATTTGATTGACCTTTAAAATAAATTTGTTACCTGTTTGTTGAGTTTAGCGTGTGTCAGTTTTATTTGAACACTTATGTCGAGAAAAAATTTTGGGTGTACATTTTTTTTTCTTATGCACCCCCTGAAAACCGCTAAATCGCGGTTTTAACCTTAAATTACTGTAGCTACAAATTAAAATGGTTTTAATAGGTTAAAATTGTTTAATTGTAGTCCTGAGCTAGACCTTTTCAGCGACAAAGGACTTGAAAAATCGTATACAAAATAATAAAGTTATAGCAAGAAACGCGAAGGTTTTAGCGGGTGCCAAAAATTTTTTTTTACATCCAAAATTTTCACTCGCCATAAGTGTTTAAATAAAACTGGCACACGCTTAACTTTTTTTCTTTCATACGTGGTGATTCGGCTTAATGTACATACATACACAATTTTTCTACCGTCTACAAAATTTGCTGTCGCCTAATGTATTTGAGTTTTAGCTACCAACTGGTTACTCTAGTTTAGTCGCCAATCAGCCGCTGGCAGTTGGCCTCATTTCAATTGCAACTGCAATTTCGTCTTTTCATTTTGCTTCAAAATTCGCGGTCTTGGCCATGGCCACTCTCAAACAGGATTTGCAACGAACTTGCTTTATTTAATACGAGTATGCACAAGTAAATACTTACTATTTGTTTGGGTATAATGTATGTAAGTTAACTGTGAATACAATCGGCTCTTACGTTAGCAGGTAGCTTATAAAATTACGACGCTTTCCAATATATGCATATTTTGGTGTTATTTTTCTATATGTACATATATTGAAATTACTTTTATGCTGCAATTTTACATCTTCTGCCAGTTAAAAAAGGTGATGTGGATTTATATTAACAAATTTAGTTTTCTAATATTTAGAAGTAGAAATTCAGTTGAAAATTTAAATTGGGAATTGTATAAAAACTGTTTGTCATGATCGGGTCAAAGAACAATATTTTGTCGATAACACGATTGGGCTACGAATTTGTAATAAATTTGAGCAAAAACTAATTGGGCAAAACAAAACAAATTTGGAAATTTGATGCGTAGGGTATTATATTCTAGTTTCCTTTTTCAATTAAGATAGAAAGTACAGTCACCTATCAGATCTTAGGTAGTTTTCAGCTTACACATAAATAGTTGTTAGGTAAATCTACAGGGTTGGAGGAGGTGGGGGCGGACGAAAAATTAAAATTTCGGATAAAATAAAATATCTCAAACGAGAAATTTAAAAAAAATGTTTGCCTGTACTTAAGCTAATAGCCACTTATGGATATGGTTTTATTTTTTGCAAATGCATTGCCGTCTTAAAAGTAAGTTCGAATTATTTAAAATGTTAAAGCAATATTACAAAATGGATGTGAATCGAAATGAGTTTGAAAAGGATTTATTTCTGATATATTTTTAGGAGGATTGCCAGCTGTTTAAAAAATCCAGCTCAAGTTAAATTATTATGTATCACAATTTGCTTGCCAGACGAATGAAATTGAAGGAGGTTTTAGCCTGAAAAGGGTTGCCACCTGATGGAAATGTAGAAACGTTCTATGAAATTATAAAACTTGAGTGTCAGTCGGAAGGGATTTTTAAATGCATTAGTTTGAAAAAAACTCTGATTAGGCATGCCAAGGCTTCAGAAGGCATTTTTTGTGAAGGTTATTAGATTTGCACCGTTCTATCGACTTTATGAAAAACCAATGCAAAGATCTCGGCCTGTAGATGTGCGTTAAGGTTTTATTTTTTGAAGTTAGTAATCTTTTTTTATTTGGTAAAAACCAACACTAAGCGCCCAAAAGCATATTTTCCAACTCTCACGAAAAAACAAACAAAAAATTCATTTAACAACACACACAATTTTATATAAAAATTTTTTGCCCCATTTTTAGCTCTCTATAAATATATATGTATGTATGCAAATATACCTTCAAGAGAATTTACAGCAATGGCAAAGTATTTTTTCAATCAAAATAAATAACGACAAATATTTCTTGTAATTTTTCTTGAAGTGTTGAATTTTTTTTTTAGTTAGTGGTGATTTTTTTGTTTGAAATAGTGATAATGTGCAAGTTTCAATTAGCTAAAAATTACAGTTCATTTTTTAGAATTAATTGTCGCATTTACTTCCATATAACAAATAAACACAATTTATTTTTATAAGTGGCAAACAATATCACTTTGAATGGGGGTGCTTTCGATATGGCCGATACTGTATGTTGTGAAAATTTGTAGCAAATAATTACGCGACCCTACGTTTGGTCAAATTGGCTCGCGTTTTCGAATTATTGCGAATTTAGGAACACTTTCTCGATAGCTAAAATTCAAAAACCTATATGTATACTTAATATGGAAACTTCGATCTCAAAAAAAAAGAAATAATAGTTTATATATTTATGCCTGCGGATATTATGTCAAAAATAGACTTTTATGATCAAAATAGGGATTTTTGTTAAAATTTTTAAATTTTTCTAATATGTTATTGTTGTAATATGAATTTAATCACAGCGTTATTACACTCATCTTTAGCCGAAAGCCATAAATCTGGCCTTTAATTTAATTAGTCCTACGTATCGATCGAGTATGAATTGACAAAAATTTTACGGAAAAGTTAGATGGATCCAAAGTTTTCTTCAGCCAGTATTTTTCTATAATTTTATAAACAACTTAAATATAGTATCACTCGGGTATTTCCAGAGACTAGCTTAAAATATAGAAAGAAAAAAATTAAAGAGTTGCCACCTGTTAAAAAATTGAAGTTTAAGTAAATTGATAAGATTAAGAAAATATTGCTACATGGCTTTCAAAAGAAGGCTTACAGTCGAAAATATTTTTGTGGAGGTTGCCACATGTTTGAAAATTTTAATTGAATTCAATTGATGAGATAAATTAAATGTTGCAATATGGGTATCGAACTGAAGAGGCTTAGGCAGATTTGCTGCCGACAATTTTTTTGAGTAGGGTTGCCATGTGTTTGAAAAATTGTATTTAATTAAATTCATAAAATAAATGAAACATATCCATGCGGGGTATCAAAAAACATAAAAATACTTTTAAGGCGCAGTTAAGCACGGCGGGCAATCGCTAGTTAGTTATTAAATACAATATGTGTATTTCAAACATTATTTTTATTTGCCACCTGTTTATTGATTTTTTTCTTCTCATCTCTTACAGACAACTTAGTGACAAAAGAGACGAATAATATTAAAATCAAACTGCACAATCACCCAATGACCGCAGGCGGCTACATTTTCTAATAATATTGGTTGCACAATAAAATCAAACAGCTCAAACAAGATCAGCATCGCCACAGACAACAGCTAATGGATCAGCTATAACACACATACGTGATTGTTAATATAATTTATACCTATACATACATATGTGCATAAATGTTTTAAGCCGTTAGGCTATGACAATAACAGTGAAGCAGCCATGCGAATGGATCAAGCTTCAAAACTACCGGTAAGTTGAGTGCGAATGCGCTGGTGGCGACAGCCGCGATGGTGGTGGAGTCAGCGGAGCCTGTTAACGAAGCTTGCATACAAGAAATAAGCAAAATTCCTGAGAAGCAGATTCCGGGCAAAATAAACAAATGCTAACAAATGCTCAATAGGCTAACCGTGTGCAGAAACAGCTGTTGCCACAAGGTGAATACACAGACGCCAAAGCTACGTAAGTGGCAGCAAGAACTTGGTTAACAAAAAAAAAAATTATAAACAATATGCCATTTTCGTTAAGCGTGCAACATTCAAGTCGGACTTAACGAAGTCGGTTAGGCAGGCTGGCAGCAAGAGCGCGAGAGCACTCCAGCGAAAAGGGAAGCCAGAGCAATAGTAAGAGTTAGTTTAACGAAGAAAACATTGAAAAAGAGAGGCGACTGCAAGTTGATGAATCAAACTTGAACTGCAACTTACATAGCTAAGAGTACATATTTTAACAAAAACAAACGAAAACATTGCTTATCACAGCTTCATTGGCGTTAATGCGCTGGCAGTGATCACGCACAAAAGCTACAGCAACCACAACTGGTTTCCACGATGCAGCACAAATTCGTTTACTCCAAACAGTCGACTTAAAACCGACCGCTTCAGTCAAGTTTCATGCAAAGGCTTTGCGATTGCTAGCATAACTGATGTTCATTTTAGGCCACCTAGCGTAAACTAACTAGCAGAAATATGCGCGTCATGATCTGTACGTCTTCAGTTGCCGGATGACAACGTATGCGCACGCACACGCCAACGCTTCCAAGCTGCATAGACTTTACAAATAGAAATTTTGAACGTTTTACAATAACAACGAGTTGTTGGCCACTTGCGTGCCGCTAAGCCAGCATTTAAAACGAAAATTGTTAAATTGTGAAAGTCAAAGACGACAGAAAGGTGACAAAAATGTGTGAAGCATACGGAATACAAGAAAGAAAAAAATCACGTACACACATACAAGCATAATTTAATTAACAACGCAAAACCAGCGAGAGAACATCGCTAGCAAGTGAATGAAAATTATTATTTCTATTTTAATTATAGTGAGCCTATCAGCAGATGCACTCAATAAACCACACATTGTAGTATAACAGTTTAAGTCAAAGAATGTGCTAATTGACAGCTTCAAATGTGTGTGCAAATCGTCGCATTTGTAAAAGTGCAAACATTAAAAGAAAGCATGAAATACCAAATAGCTTTTCAAAAGTACTCGAAAGCGGCAATTGATTGCCTTTTGAATAATCCGTAAGCAAAGTGTTGGCATTCAAACGGGCTATTGTAGTTGTTTTTGTTGTTTTTTTTTTTTGTTTGTTTGTGCTGTGCCAAACTGTAATAGCACACTTTAACGAGCACGCTGTGAATGAAATTGTTTGAAATGTGTGCAATGTTTTGACACAGTCACCCACAATCGCCGAGCGGTCTTTGTGCTGATGTCAAAGTGAATGCGTTATTTGTGATTGTTTCGTGAAGAAAAGCTTTATTGTATTATAGTATGTGAAGTAAAATGCATAAAAGTATTGTGTGGTGATCACCAGAAGATTTGTTTTTTTTTGAAGAATAGAGTGCTAAGAATTATTTGAAAAGATCTTGAAATTCTATAAGTGTTTATGGAACGCGGCGAGCATTTACGTTTGACAATACTTGAATAATTGAACTTATTTGTATGCTACTTAAGAGTTGGAAAGCGTTTTAGAACATAACCTAATAACTGCTTGTACAATGTATGTGCATATGTAGTACATAGTATAAAGTGATCATTTTTGCGACTCTAAACGAAAGACTTAAGCAACGAACTTTGTTTTTTTTTATCTTCTTTAAATGGTTATGTATGTATGTGCGCATATCCACGTATGCCCTGCAAGAAATTATATCAGTTCAGAAATAGTTACATAACTAATTTTTGGTGGTGGGTATTAGTTCCAGTTGGATCTCTCAACTGAAGCTTCAGATGGTCAAATCTACATTTAAGCGATTTGATCGAAGCATAATTAATGAGTAATACAATCTAGACCAGTTCACCACTTTCAGTTCTAATATTGTGACCACCGTGGTATCTCCTCCTCTGAGTCTGAAAATGATGCCGTATCCATCCATGTAGTCGAAGTCACTGACGTAGGTCGGGAGTATGTGGGTATCTTTTGGGTATAATATATAGAGGGGTTCCGGCCACTGACCTATCTTTTAATGTGACCAATGGGCCGTCATAGGATGTTGGTGGCAACCCACTGGCTTCATTGACTGTCCAGCAGTAATGATTTTTGAGGCATCACCGAGCTCATCCGATCGCACGGTACGTCTATTTGACGCTGAAGGTTGAACGGTATACAAATTTCGCGCTATTTATTAGCGACGAGGCACCCTTTGACCATGCGTTCATCTTCGTACGATGTTCCAGCTTGAAGCTGGGGGGATTTTTTAGTGTTATTAACAACTCATAGGACTGACTGAGCCGTGATATAAAAAAAAAGTCCGAGACCATTACCTACACAGATCCCAGGAACCATACTGTCATACCAAATAACCATAATTTTATTTATCCCGTTCTGGAGCCAGGATATAACTATAGGCTGTTATTACCCACCTCAGCGTTGACAGTATAACAGTACTTCCCGCAGTACCTGCAGATTCGAATTTGCATTTGGTGAAACCTATATTTGGCTACAATATTAATTCAGCCCTTCTTTAATAGATTGTAAAAACGATTAAAACCGGATGCATGTATATGAAAATTAAACGGACTAAGAAAAACACTCAAAAGCAATAGAAAGTAGATAAGTGTTACCAATAAACCAGACTTCCATTGCGAATTGTTTTAATTACTAAAAAAGTGAGTGCAAGAATTCCTCAGCGAAATATAAATTGTTAAAAAGTCAATAAGAGTAATAACAGCTAAGCTAAAATCCATAAATGCAGCAAAACCACAAACATCTTTAAAAGTGGAAACAGCCACAGCAAGAACATCAGAAAAAAATCGAAATCATAACCATCAAGAAGGATTAATAGCATCAGCAGCTATGGTGAGAACCACCGCAGCAAAAGTAGAATCTACAGAAACAACGAAAAAGACATACCGTCGATCAATCATAACGCCAAATTGGTTGGAAAACCCACAAGACGATACCAAGATGGCCTATAGCATCAGCCACAGCAGCTCCACAAGTAACATCAACAGCAACAGCAACAGCAGCAAAAATAGTCACCACAAAACTGCTCACAACCACAAACACTGCGTGCGAAATCGGCACAGTAGGGCAGCGCAAGTAAAAAATTCATCTGCAACAAGAGCATCTTTAGCTGCAGCAACCACAGCATCAACAACACTTCGCCAGCGTACGCGAATGATGCTTAGCGGTTGCCACTTGTCCACCAAACTGCGTCCGATAGCGCTATTTATCATCATCCTGCTAGCAACCGAATATGTTACGCCCGTAGAAATGGCAGACATGTATGAAAGTACGACGCCAATGCAGCAGTCGAGCAATGACCGCAACTCGTCTTTCAGCGAACATAACAGCACAGCGAGTGCAATTATGGCAACCAATTGGCAAGAATTCGATGCGACAAACAACAGCAGCTTCAGTTGGAGTAATCACAGCCACAGCAGTGCCAGCGATCTCGACAGCGACAGTGGTCGCACCGCTAATGGCGGTGATTCAATTTTCTTGCGTTTTGTAAAACGTTTCTCAACCGGCAATGAGTTGTGGGATGACATTATACGCGATTGTTATCAACAACCTACCTTTAGTTGCTTTCAGAAGAATGTTTTCACCTACCTAAATGGTGCGCTGGATTTGCACGATGTAAATATAACGCAACGTCTGAAATTCTACCGCAATCATGTGGATTATGCGGATATGCAACATGAACCGACGGAGGCGGCAGCAGCGAAGGATAGCCTGGATGTTTCGTCAGAGGCTGATGATGAACATTTGCTCAACAACGAGATACCCCATGAGGAAGGGCGCGCAGAAACAGGTGAGTGGAATTCTTTTGCTTATTTTTCCTTATTTCTCGGGCGAGTTTGTGAAAACTGTCAAAAAGGGGAAGAATTTTAAACACTCAATTTTTAACCAATAAATATGTATGTACATGTTTTTTTTTTATTTATAAGTGAAAAAGCATCAAATGAAGCATTAATTTAACGTTATTGTGTTTGCTGCCGATCAGATCTAAAATCTGTAATTTTTTGCGATTTGACGTTTAGTTTCGGCCACGAAAAAGGTTGCTTTCACTTTTGTGAGAGCATTTCGTACTTACGCTCATTTGCCCAAAACTAGCCCAAAAATGCTAAAAACGAACTTAATAATTTCCTTTCGCTTTGTAAAATCTAAGTTTAAGGGCATAACTGTTATAAGTTTTATCGCTAAAATGTTGCTCCATAACAATCAGATTACAAATATTTTTTATTCCGCCGATAAGAATTATGTATAACCCAGTGTTTACTTTTTACGTTGCTTGATGCTATTTCACTCTTCCACTTTAATTTTCATCATCCTTATCTTCTTCTCCATATCCATCTTCATCAATATCCTTATCTTACAATGTTTATCAGATAACTTAAAAACTAAACGTTGATTATAATAATAATAATTATTAACTCATATGGACGAAATAAAAAATTACAAATAAATTATAAATTAAATAAGTTGGAGATGGCAGTTATTTTTGGTCCCGTGCTATTTTACTGAGATTGGTTTTTCATAATCAGAACTAAGAGATCAAATTTCATTGAGAAGAGGTTGCAAGGTTATGATGTTTTAGATGAAAAACTACGTCACGTTGAATTTTTGTTTGAACGCCTTTAATCTTATGGGCACGTCCACGCGGCACGATACTATCGCACACATATTAAACTTTACATAACAAGCTAACCGAGAGATGGAGAAAAACACATCGGCATGGCTTGAAAACTGCAACTGGTAACGAAATATTTATTTAGCAGTCTAAGCTACCCCTTTACACTTATTTCAGTTTGGTTATTGAAACCTGAAAACTAGGTTTCTATGAGAATATTAGGAGAGTCCAAGAGTCAACTGCTCTCACAACACTATACCAAGCCACATCGGCTTAGTTGGGATCTTTCGGAGCACTGGCGTATTATTTGTGGTTTCCAGATTGCAGATAAATTATATCAAGTTAAATCCTAACTTTTAGTCTTCTATTTTTCGAATCCACTTCAAGTTTATGTATTTCAGCTTGTTAGCTATCGTGCCGTTCATACATCTATGTCAGTTGACCTAGCTAGGTGTTTCGAAAAAACGACTCTCTCAACATTTGCTAACTTAAAGATCCAAAAATTAAATTATTGTACTTCAGATTCAATGGCGAAGATTATCCTTATCTTATCTCTACGTGGTTGGTTGGTTTCACTTTTCGCCAGTGTTTGGAGAATGGTCATGCTGAAGTTTATACCGAAGGCTAGAAAAAGCCCAAGGATTTCATACCGATCAGCCTCTCCTCGTTTTTTCTTAAAACGCTGGATAGGCTAGTTGATTAACAAATTAGGACCAAGATTCCTCGTGATCATCACAAGGTGATGTATTCTCACCTCTTCTCTTGATTGCGTTCGTAAACGACCAGCCAGAGGAGTTGTTGGGTACATGTTTCCGGGTGATTGATTTCCTATGCGGATGATATTGCACCTTTAGTGAGAGGTAGGTTTTTTGAACCCTCTGCGATTTAACCAAAGTGTTCTTGAACCTGGTGAATAAACGGTCTACAGACTGCGGACTTGCTGTAAATCCATGTACCAGGAGGTACCAGGTGTCTCAGGCTACTCCACCCTCGATCAAAGACATTCGTTTTGCGCTTACTGACAGGGCCAAATACTTTAGCTTTATTTTAGATGGGAAGAGGTTTAAGTGTCTGTATACAGTTAAAGGGAACACTACGTAAGGGGTGGGACCTCTCTTCTAAAGTTATCCACTGGCTCTATGAAATCTCGCTTACGTTACGCTCTAAGCTAACAGTGAAATGTCTAAATTCTATTCCAGTCGCTTTGGCTGATAAACTGGCTAGAAGTGGCACCATCGCGATACGTTAGTGTAAGAACTGGCCTAAAGTTCAGTTACTTAGGGCAAAACAGTTAATAATAAGTTGCCTTTCCTTTTTCAAATGCAACTAAAAATATTTACCCTTACGTAATTATGTCACTACAATCCAGAGAACAGTTATGCAATCTTCAATTGAACTAGTAGCCTTTTGACATATGTATTTGCATAATGAATAAGATAATGGACATAAAGTCGTAAAACTATTGTAGTGGCTATTTAAGTTTAAAACAAATTTAATTACAAAAATTGTCGCTTACTATTCACACACTTTTATAAGTATTACGTCAAAAAAACAATTATCTGTCATTGTGTAATACAAAGATCAGACGATGATGGAAGTATGGAGCTCAATTCATGCCCTCCCCATGAGCTCCATTAAGACTATTAAATTAACTCATTTTGTTGGTAAACAAATCATAGCAAGCGATTCACGAAAGTTTTATTTTGCGACGCAGATAGTAAAAATATCAAAACATTCATACATACATAGCATATGTAGTGACCGAAAGTAAATGAGTCAAAATTTGTAGCTTAACTTGAGCAAAAATAAATGTCACGCAGACATTTCGATATTAGTTCACTTGGAATTTACACATACATATAAACACACATGCATACGTAAATTGGATTTCGGGCACTGCGCAGCCAAGTACAAAAAATATACATGGACCGAAAAGTATAGGTAAACACAAACTTATACATATATATCATATATGCATATTCATACATACATATATACATAAGCATTTACATACTTACCTACATACGCTGATTAGTGAAAGTTTTCGAGCAAAAATGCATTTCTGTTAAGAAACGGCCGCAAACGGTCCAACAACATTCACTGGAAACAGAAGATGACGAAGAAGCAAGCTGAAGTAGATAAAAAAAAAGAAATGTGTTAAGTTAAAACATTAATGCGAATAAAAAATAATTCGTTACAATGAAGAAAAACTCAAAGCAGATCAACGTCGATCAGCATGTAAAAGCCTTCACATTCACACCTGGCACACACACACACACGCACACGCGCCAATTACCCTGCAGGAAATATATTTAACTATAAGTTAACTTGAAGTTGAATAGGAAGGTATTAAAGGTCACTATTATATCTATGGCAACTAATTACTTTTGGACATAAAATATGAATAAGAAAACATAACTTTTTTTTAATTTTCTACCTGTACATATTCTGCTTAAGATGGTCCAATATTCGAATTCTATCAGACATAACTTCAAAATGATAATATAAAACTTCGATCTTCATTTTATTTGTCTTGAATTCGAAAAAATATATTTGTGAAGTGCAGAAAAAAGTGTACACACTTGTTTAAAGAAAACCATCTCCCAATCATGTCTGCATGACTTCTGCATTACGTTTCAACTATTTAGATTACAGTTAGCCTTTTATAATTAACTACAGGTGAGAGATTTTTTATCAATTCATAATTTTTTTCTTCAGGGTAGTGTTGGTTTCGATCGTATGTGAATGGAATTATTTGTCTGTATATGCGTGGGTATGTACATATGTGTGTGTGTGGTGTACAACAACAAACAGTCTATTAATATTAGCATAAATTACGGAGAGGTATGCATAAAATATACTGAATGTGAATTTTCGATGAAAACGAAAGTGATTTTGTTTGCATGAAAGTGAATTCGGAGCGGATTAAAAGAATTCATTGGATAATAGCAGATGAGCAGCTTTGATTTTCTGTCTCTTCTATTATAAAAGTGTCTAAAGTAATTAGCGCACGAGTGAATAAAAACTAAAATAACGAGCGATAAGATTTTCGCTTATCATTCTGCATGTGAGCACTGCAACCACTGTATGTGTATGTATGTACATATGTAGGTATATGTAGATATGTTCGGCTTGATTTGCTTATTTATTTATTGTTCCAATTTGATAATAGACCTTCGGGTCTAGTTCTGCCATAGCGTTCGAAGCCGGTGTGGAATTTTACACACACCACAAGTTAGAGAAAAAATTCCATTTGCCACGCCCATGTTACGGCACACGCGGTGGGCCTTCAAGGTCAACTCTTCAACGTTTGGTAGCTGAATTCGAGGCAACAGGTGTGTTAAACAATTATTCAGTATGCCAAAGGAAAACTAGATCGGCAGGGAATATTTTAAAATGAAATTTGAAAATTTCAGAATTACATTTCTCGACTGTAAAATAAGATATTCGAGCTAACTCGACCGCACACAGTGAGCTCTTTTAACACTGCATGTGAATTAATCGTAGCGCTTTCGACAGAAGCAATATTTTGATACGAAACTAAACAAAAATTCTTTTCATGAAAAAATATTGCCATTGGGTCACAATTACCCCTTGACCTTGAAAAAATTGGCAAAAATAGTGAACTTCGAAAAAAATATGCAAATTTGAAAGCACATTTATTTGTCTGGCTGTGGCTGAGTGCGCAAAGATGCTTTCCAGAATTTGTTGATATGCAGAGAGGGTCAGGTTTCAAATTCCACTGCAGGCAACATGCAAATTAATTTTTTTTTTTTTGTTTTATCTTGATTATTCACTTCGCGGATGCTTTTTTGGAACGAACGCGATCATTTTAAAATGCGCGTAATTGAATTGGATACAGTACTTTCGTTGACGTTTATAGTAAGATCAATTACGTTTCTATTTGATTTTAATATTTTTTCCCCTCAGTGTAGTAGATGCATCAAACAGGCAAAGTTAAAAATATGTTGAGCTTATTCTGCTGATTGGCAGTGTTTATATTTAATTTACTTAAAATTCAGTTTTGCTCAAACAATCCTTAAAGTATTAACCCTTCTCCGTTTTTAAATGTCCTCATATGTGCGATAAAGTTTTATTTTTTCGAAAAGGTTTGCCGCCTATCCGAAAAATTATAACATATGGGCTGTTCGTTAATCTAAAAAATGAGTTGTCGAATGAAC